GTCCCATTGAGCACGGATCGGAACGCCGGATCGGATTTCTTACTATAATGAGCGTTCCGTTCTCTAGTTCCGTTCCGTAAAAGTTTCCTCTACCAGTCCCATGTAGCAAAAACGGAACGGATTTCTAATTATAAAATATATTTCACTCTTCAATTAAATATTTCAGAATATTCATGACAATGTTATCGGCAAGATAATTGCATAAATTATGTATATAATTAATTCTGTCGCGTCAAAATAACGAAATATTGACGAATTAATCATATTTATTTGCGACCGACGCGCCATTCCGTTCCGTTTTTGCTACATGGGACTGGTAGAGGAAACTTTTACGGAACGGAACTAAAGAACGGAACGCTCATTATAGTAAGAAATCCGATCCGGCGTTCCGATCCGTGCTCAATGGGACGACACCCTAAGTCTTATATATTAATATTACAAACTTAAAAAAAGTAGGAAAATTAATTGATTTTAAAATTATTTTTGAACTTTTTAAACAAGATTTGGATTATTTGTACACCTAATATTATAGGTTATATAAAATATAATTAGTTGACAATATTTTATATATATAATAAAAATACCACTTTTATTTATTTATATTGTCATATATTACCATATATATATATATATATATATATCCTATCTGTTTAAAAAATATATAAGAAAAGATGTCTTTTTATATAAAAATATTTTATTTTAAAATTTAGACTTGAAAATATATCTTTTTCTATATGTAGAGAGAGTTTTAGAGTATATTTTTGAATTATAATTCTAAATTATTGATTAAATAACAAAAGTTACTGAGATAATTTTCAAACTATAGTTCCAGTTTAGTAATTTTCAGTTTATATAGTAATTTTATTTTTTGTTGGTCAACCTGATTGCACATAAAAATCGCCTTGCAGGACATTGTCGAACAAAGATGGCGGCGAGTGACGGTGTACGACTCTTGTTTCTCGGAATTCTTTGTATTTTTCTTCTGGAACTATGCAACGGCGCCGCGACGGACATCGAATTGGACGCGAAAGCACAGCTGTTGCATCGACTCGACAGTCTTAATCTTCTACTCTACACTTTCCTATTAATTTTAACCGTTTTAACGATATGGATGTTCAAGCACCGTCGTTTGAGGTTCCTCCATGAAACTGGCCTAGCTGTCATCTATGGTGAGTCGTCTGCTATCAGTGATACCCGATATGTTGTTTCCTCGTATTATATTTAAAAATAAACATGATACAGTAAAAGGTTTAAGGAATTTAACGTTACTATCGTCATACTTATCACCATCATCCTTATTACATCGTTATCTCTATTATCACAATCTTTAATTATTGATGTATCTTCTGCATATAAAATGTTGAAAGTTTTGATCTTACGGATCGCACAAAAATATATTTTGGCAATAAAATATAAATCAAATATAGCCTGTTGTCATTAATGCAATATTATTCGTTTACAGAAGTAAGTGTTTCTTGCAATATTTATCAAAGATATATAAATATTTCAAAATCGTTTCCTTTGATAATCAGCTGGATATTATTGATATCAAACCGATATTTCAGATACAACAGCTCAATAAATTTTTCCTATTGCAGGCTTGATCATAGGAGCAATAATACGGTATGGTTTTACAACAAGTAGTACTATTCTTCATATGCCGGTAGTACCGGATAACAGCAGCAAGTACAATCAGTCTGTCCCACCGGACACACTATGGTTACGTTTCCCAGAGGATAAGGGTGGTGGTATTGTGAAAAACAAAACGTTTGCTTATTCGTTTCGTGGTGAAATTTATAAGGAAGATAATGAAATTGATTTGAAGGTGAATGAATTACTTGTGATGACTAAGCTGGTTTGAGAATAGTTGCTTATTTGATGACTTCTGAATATTATAAAGTTTCAATCACGTGAATAAGTTTAAAAAGCGTCATCGTACATTAAAATGATTGTTATTGCAATTTTTCTGGCAGGCAACATTTGACCCTGAAATATTCTTCAATATTATATTGCCTCCTATCATTTTCCACGCAGGGTATAGTTTAAAGCGTGTAAGTATGTTATAAAATTTAAAAAACAAGTAGCTGTATAAAATGTATAGCAATCAATTTTGATCTTTTTTTTTTATAACTGTTGCAGAAATATTTCTTTCGAAATTTGGGTGCCATTCTTATGTATGCTTTAATAGGAACCTCTATATCAGCCTTCTTTATTGGGTAAATATTTTCCTTAATGTGTGTTAATTAGCCCTTTCATGAGCATTTAAAGAAAAACGTCGTTAACAGACATCTTAGCATCTCGATATCTCGCAACGACGTTTCTCTTAAATGACTTGCTCTGTAATCTTTTATCTCTCTAATGAATTTAAATATGCAATACACAGAGCGTTGATGTACGCCTTCATACAATTAATACCGCATCTCTCCACGTCGTTCACATTTCTGGATACTCTATACTTCGGCGCTCTGATATCTCCCACGGATCCCTTGACAATAATATCCATTTTTAACGACTTACACGTAGACGTTAATCTATATGCCTTGGTATTCGGTGAGAGCGTGTTGAATGACGCGGTCGCCCTTGTACTTAGCGGGTACGTACATAAAATGTCTGAATGTCTTAAAAATCCAACAATATAGCAAATCCGATTTAACAAAGTGTGTATAATATTGTGAAAATGTAAATCTTAATTTTAGCTCGATACAAAACTACGCCGAGCGATACCAGTCAGGATCGGGCGGTTTCGAGACAGTGGCATTCTTCCAAGCATTCGGAGATTTTGTAGGAATATTTAGTCTGTCGCTTTTTATTGGTGCCACAATGGGATGCATTACAGCATTGTTAACGAAGTTCACCAGAGTACGAGACTTCCCTCTCTTAGAGTCGGCGTTGTTCGTCTTGATGTCTTACAGCACATTTTTAATCGCCGAAGCTTCTGACCTTACAGGTGACTCACAGTGCCAATAAACAATTTGTACACACATTAATCTTCAAATCTTGCGCGTTATCAGCAAAGCGTGCACCAACAAGATATCTCGTGATCTGTTCTTAACGTACGGTTTGCTAAACATGAGATATTTCCGTGAGCCATACGCAGTATATTAAATTGTTGCAAAAAAATCCGTATACATATATACATATGAATTAATTTTGTTATGAAAAAATATTACAGGCGTGGTCGCTGTTTTATTTTGCGGAATATGCCAGGCTCATTACACTTATAATAATTTGAGCCTGGACTCACGTCAACGTACGAAGCAGTTGTTCGAGTTGTTAAACTTTTTAGCCGAGAATTTCATATTCAGTTATATCGGCGTCTCGATGTTCACCTTCCCGAAGCACCACTTCGATCCTGGCTTCATCTTCGCAGGATTTGTATCCTTTACGTATTGCCCAATGTTGTTAAATGAAATTTTGAATATCAAACTCGATGAACCTTAACACCGCCTCAGCTGTGTGCGCTACTGGGTCGCGCGGCTAACGTTTACCCGTTGTCTTTCATTCTGAATCTGGCGCGAAAGCCGAAGATATCGTTGAACTATCAGCACATGCTGTTCTTCGCGGGATTACGCGGCGCTATGAGCTTCGCTCTCGCTATTAGAAACACTGTGTCGGACGCCAGGCAAGCTATGCTAACCACGACGAGCTTAATTGTGATATTGACGGTTATTTTGCAAGGTGGGGCGACGACACAATTCTTAAGCTGGTTCAATATTCCGTAAGTGATTTACTTAAGTGTGAGTTCAATCAATTGCAAGTAACTCCGTGTCTTTGTTGTCAGTCCTATATATAATATATTGTCTCGTCTTGTCGTTAAAATTTTTGTTAAATTTGTAGCGTCGGGGTAGACGAAGAGATAGAAGGTCTCTCTCACAATGGAACACGTAGTGTAAGTATTTTACAGACGAATGCGTCTTTCCTATTTTGTAGATTTAGTATAAAGTTAAGTGTAGATCATACGCGGAACAGACAATCCGACAAACTCTTGCAAACCCTTAATGTGTCATTGTTGTAGGATATTTTGGTTAAAACAGTCACATATTTTCATTCGTTGTAATGTCAGTGCTGCCATAGCATGCGAATGTATATTTATTCTTTATTCATACATTTCTTCCGTAATGGGAGCTACAATTTTGTTTTATAAGCTTTCGATTCAATTTCTTCGACTGCACGAGCTTCTTTGTTATTTTTTTTCAGTATGGTTTTCGTTATCCATTCTGTATGTTGACGAGTAGCTGAAGGACATTGAAATACGTACATTCATTAACCCACGCAAACGTGCTTAATACAGGACACGAGAATAATGATCTATAAATGAAGCATGTATATTTCATGACTAATGATAAAGGTAATTCCGGATACAAATTAAAGGAGCTATTAACAACATACGTTATTGTATGCAACTTTGCATTTGGGACAAGAAAAAAGGGGATTAAAGATATTGGAATGTTATTCTAATACGGTATTGCATTTATAAACAAATATTAGTTTAAATGTAATATATATTTTTATATATTACATTTATCTATACATTAAAAAGTTGGAGAACAAAGAAGACTTACGATCATACAGGATGGATAACCGATATATTGTTCACATTTCACAGTATAATTCTATGCAGGATGGATCGTTGTCAGGCGGTGGCGGCGGCGGCGGCGGCGGTGGCGGTGGTGGCGGTAGTGGCAGTGGCGGTGGTAGTGGCGGAGGCGGAGGCGGCGGCACAAAACCTAACGAAAAGGCGTTGCTCGCCAGAATTTGGGGCGATTTTGATACAAAGTATATGAAGCCCCTACTAACGCACTCTAGGCCTACGTTGTTAGAAACGTTGCCGGTTTGCTGTAGTCCGCTCGCGAGAATTCTTACGACAACGCAACAAATGACGCAGGTACGAAATTGTCCGCGGTTACTCACGTGAGTTATACATCCTGTTATCGCCCAAGGTTTCATCGTTGTGATGAGAAGTGTGATGTAAAAATATTTTCATAACAATATGAGAAATATCCTTTACCCGTATATAAAATAACGTAAGCTAAAGTAACGATTTTTTATACGCACCACAGGATGACGTCGCGAGAAAAGCCGACTCGGATTCCGACTTCTGTCTGGAAGATCGCGAAATGGAGCGACGGAGGACCAGTGTTCAGCCGGTGAGTTTTCATCAGCCTAATCTCAATTACACTGTTAATCCGTGCTATCAGCCTAACAGCACAGACGTTACTAACCCCGACGAACCCTATGTAATCCTCAATTTACACAGAAGGTAGAAATAGCCGCAAGTTTAATCATTATATCTAGATCTCCTCAAAGGAAGTCGTTGTTTCACGGTGAAAGTACACATTTCGTACTCGTTGACTCGCGACTGGAATTTCTGTTATAACTCTTATGTAACTACGCTTTACACGCGTTCGATTTTCTTACATCTAAACGCTAAATCTCGTACACACAAACACTTATGCCATATACACTTTTCGTTTTATATGAGAGTCTCTGCGAGTGACGGTCTACTAATATTTTTTTAATATATGTAAGAACTTATCCCCTTTTCTCCTATTTATTCCAAGTGTGGGCGTTTTAGTGTAAAACATCAATAGCCTATGGCTATATGTGTATACTATTGTAAATTATATTTTTACGTATACCCCATAAAAGGCGAGTTGCGAGAAACAAAACACATTTTACGTCTCTCTGGGATCTGAAGATACGAAAAAATGCGTGGAACATAATTTAGCCTTGGAATCGCTCGAATTGCGTTCTATGTATCTTTTTATATCTTTTAATCTAAGAAAGATATTCAGGCGTTTCGTTTCCGGTGATTCACTCTGTAATGTATAAATGATATAGACAATATGTAGAGGAAGTTTAATCGCGTAATTTACATAGATTCTTAATCGCAATCGCCTCTTTTTTATATTCACACCGGTCGTTTCAAATCCTTTCATATGAAATGAGTTTGACTGTCTACTGCATGTAAGACTAATATTTCTGAGTGATGCTATCTTTCTGATTTTCTGAATTAATCTCTTGAATGAATATGCGTCAGTGATAACGTAATCTTGCAAATAACAACAGGATTTGTAAATACACACATCTCAACAGATCCGTTTGTTGAGGAAAACACATGGAATGTATGTGTATCGCTGTTTATAAAACGCAAACTAACTTCTTCTCGCTTTATTGACCATACTAATACTGTAAATTAACAAAGCACGAAATATATAGATCGCAACGTCGCAATATTGCGAGTAACTATGAAAATTGCGTCTGTCTTTTCGTTCAAGTAGCTACAACCGCATCGTATACGCGAAACCGTTCTACATTCGGTCATTTATATAACAGACGCGTAAAGAATTAACACGAATGGATTTGTAAATGGATATAAATAAAATCGTGATGCGTGTGATATTTGTATTGTAACAAGAGAGAGAGGGAGAGGGAAAGAGAGAGAGAGAGAGAGAGAGAGAGTGTGAGAGTGAGAGTGAGAGAAAGAGGGGATGGGGAGAGAGGAAGAGAGAGTGAAAAAGAGATACGATAAGTTCTACTATAAATTAGAAAATTATATCCGAAAATTATGTTTAATGTAAAGACGACAAGTAAAGCTTCCAATCTATCTGATGCTTACGTGTCTTGCCTCTCTTTCGCAAACTCACAACGAGACATTTGCGGAGCGCACGTTTGACCGCGTTTTTTAAACGGTTTTTCTAGAGAGAGAAAAATGATGATGGTGATTCCGATTCTGATGATGATAATGACGATGATGATGACGAAGACCTCAGAATCATTGGAATGGAGGGATGTATTCCGTTACGAACGTTGTAACATTGTTCGGAAACATTGGACGAACGATAATCTGCGTGTGTACCTAAGACCTGATGAAAAAAAAAGAGCAAATTTGTCTCCTTAAATAATTGCAGCTTAGGTATATCGCGTCGTGTGATTTTCCGAAAGTATTAGCATACGAGTAGCGTTATGATATAGATAATTCTAGTGTTACTTCGTCTCTCTAAGATGTATACAGAATGTTTCCTGATATGCAATAATAAGCAACAATTCGGCAGATCAATTCAGAGCACGCGAAAGTGACGTGAAAAGTGATGAATATTTTATCTAATGTCATTTATTATATATTTCATTATATAGTTCATTAATATATTCATCCTTGCGTCTTATAGATTCGTCTGCTTTTACAGAGAACGTTCAAAGTGACCATTTGAAACTCGAATGTAATGATTTAAATGTATTATTATTTACCATTATCGTTAAAATTGTTAAAAGACAACAAATTATCCTTAGACGCGAGAGAGGAAGAACGTTGTAATTTGGAAACCGAGGCAAATGGAGGCGGAGGAGGAAACATTTCATCTTGCTTTGTACACTAAATACGTCTTAGAAATGTTTCTGGCATATCGGGAAACACGCTTTATATTTTTCTGTCTCGAAAACTACGTAACGAACAGTCTTTGCCAAACCTTCTTATGCGACATTTGAATCGAACATTAAACATAATTTTCACAAACTATTAGTGATCTTGAGAAGGTGTTGAGAGATGAATCGTTGCTGCTGTGATCTTTGAGTCCTTCTCTCATGAGACTTGTTATACAGATCGACTCGCCGGAAACGGAACACTTAAATATTTTTTTTTAGCGATTCTAAAATATATCAATCGCAATTTACATAGTTGCAGACATACTGACGTTTACTATACAGAATTCACTAGAATTAACTTTTTACCTTAAATATTTCCTTCTTTAATTTTAAATCTTTTGCAACTCAAAGTGCATTTTATTGCAATGTACAATTTAACTTGTCATACAAAAAATCTGCTTTTAGAAGGAAAAATATTTAAAGCTTATCACGTTCGCTTTTTTGAACTATTTAAATTGATTTCTACATACACATTTCTCTCTCTCCTCCCTCCCTCTCTCTGTCTCTGTTTTATGTTAATTTCTTAAGATATGTTCAAACTCATATTTCACACATAGTTTTCCGTTTCAAGCGATTCGCTACGTAATATTACGTTTACTTACAAACTGATATTTCTCGAGTATTTTTGCATGCTATTTAAAGACAATGGGCATTAATTACCTCGCAGTGCTACTACACTTATTTTTCTAATATGCATGCTGCAATGTAGCAAGTATTTCTATCCATGTTTTCATGATTATATTTTTCTTATTTTGATTTTGTATATTTTGATTTTATTTATTCACAGACGAGCGTAAGGAGCTCTGCACGTAGATTGCAGTTATGAAAACGTTTTTGGCCGTTAAGTTTATTTCGATTTATGTTTATACATACATCCATACACACATACATACATACATACATACATACATAC